CTACAAACTCACTTTTTTCATCGGAAGTTCGCAGTGGTCAACCTGGAAGGCTTCCACAATCAGCATCACAAGTTCGATCATACCTGCTGACGTTTTTTAATTCCGATGTGGGATCGATACCCTGGCAACGCAGAGCAGCTTGTTTGGATTAAATTGGAAAGGTATGACTTAAACCTACTCAACTCTGCACATATCTTCATATTCCTTTTTTTAATTTTAGATGACAAGACCGAAAGTATAACGTTTTCTTTGGATCGAGAGTTTTCAAATAATTTTTCGTTTCATATCCACCGTACCTACTTTTTCCACAATATTCAAAATGTTTTATATCGTAAACCTTTTTCGTTCATTTATATAGCCGATTTTATAACAAAATCAACATAAACAAATTTGCAAACTTTGTGCAGAATTCACAAAAGATATTCAAACTTTAAAAAATGTTAATCAATATTTCAAACTTTTTATTTATAATTTTTAGAAAATCTTTGGGTATGCAGTTTTGTAGTTAATTCAATTTCTGTTTAGTATAGTTCAAGTTTCAAGTAGCTAGGAGTTACAGTTGATTTTTTAGAATGTCTTTTTGTTGAGGGTGTTGCGTATTTTCTTCAATGTACTACATGAACAAAATTAATTTTTATATGAATCTATTTTTATAAGAAATTCTAAAAAATCAACTGTAAGTCCTAGCTACTTGATACTTGAACTGTACTAAACTGAAATCGAATTAACTACAAAACTGCATACCTAAAGATTTTGACCAATGTATTTTCCTTCACCTCTTAAGTAATTGATTTGTCTGTCTTTTAAATTAAAATTAAAATTAAATGTAAGCCGCTTAAATAATCATTTATTATACATTTTGTGAATATAGAATAGTATTTTAATTTTGGTACGATGTTTGTATTTACAAAAAAATACGGTTCATGCTTTAACGAAAACCATAAAAATCAAACTTCTATTTTTATATAGAGCTTAGAAAAATTCAATAAATATTCACAACATTTAAAACTTTTTAATATGAAAATTTTTGGGTATGCTTTTTATAGCCTGTAAAATTTTGG